ACTATCGGCCAGTTCGATGTGGAAGAGAAGTGAGCCGAGCGAGGGAGGAGAGAAAATTGTATAATAAAACCAGTGGGATACTTCGGCCCCCCAGCAAAAGTTTGGGAAGCACGGGCCTCCCGACCCTCTCCCCCTCCTCCTTTTGAGTTGTCGTGTCGTCGTCTCCTCCCCCCTAGCTTGGGCGCCCTGCTAAGCCCGCGCGTCCCCATCCCTTGGGCACGCGGAAGGGCCAGCAGCTGCACCCTCCGCACTGACCCGCAGGGACTCGCAATCGTAAGGTAGCGAGCATCTCTTACGGGGCCACCTCGGAGCTCACTCTTTGAGCAACGGGGTATGCCCCCTGCCGGCCCTAGTGAGAAGTCAGGGCCGTTGCACAACCAATTGCAGGGGATTTGGCCAGATGCGCGCAAGGCACCAACGTAGGTAATTTGACGTTGAATCCCCTTATACGGATGTCCTGTACTGTCCTGTCCTGTTCAACTCTCCCCCTTTCTCCTCCTCCTCCTCCTCCTCCTCCTCCTTCTCCTCCTCCTCCTCCTGGTAGTCATCATCCTCATATTCATGCTCATGCTGCTCCTCCGTTTCCCTCCTGCTCCTCTTCTTCCTCCCTCCCTTTTCCCCGCCCCCCCCGACCGTCACCACCCTTCCGGCCGCCTTCACCCCCGGGGGACGCTCGGCCACACACAAGAGTGACCCTAGGCGAGCGCGACCTTTGGTGCGCGGTTCTTAGAGGGGCTGCGGGTGACCAAATCCAAGCGCGATGGTCAATGCTGGGAGGGTCCGCCGTCCGCGCGAAATCGATTCGCGCGAAAACTGCGGGCCGTTCAAAAGAAATCCGCTGGGCGCGCGCGCGCGAAAAGAACCCAGGGCATCCCAGAAGATGGCGGGAACCAGGATTTGGAGAAGTCGAGGCTGGAAAACTCCCGAAATTCCGGTTCCCGGCTCTGTCTGGCGCCCCAGTGACCCACAGCAGCCCCGAGGATGGCGGGAACCACGATTTTGGAGAGATCCAGGCCGGAAAAGCCCGAAATCGTGGTTCCCAGCTCTGGCTGGCGCCCCTGGGACCCACGGCGGCCCCGAGGATGGCGGGAACCACGATTTTGGAGAGATCCAGGCCGGAAAAGCCCGAAATCGTGGTTCCCAGCTCTGGCTGGCGCCCCTGGGGCCCACGGCGGCCCCGAGGATGGCGGGAACCACGATTTTGGAGAGATCCAGGCCGGAAAAGCCCGAAATCGTGGTTCCCAGCTCTGGCTGGCGCCCCTGGGGCCCACGGCGGCCCCGAGGATGGCGGGAACCACGATTTTGGAGAGATCCAGGCCGGAAAAGCCCGAAATCGTGGTTCCCAGCTCTGGCTGGCGCCCCTGGGACCCACGGCGGCCCCGAGGATGGCGGGAACCACGATTTTGGAGAGATCCAGGCCGGAAAAGCCCGAAATCGTGGTTCCCAGCTCTGGCTGGCGCTCCTGGGGCCCACGGCGGCCCCGAGGATGGCGGGAACCACGATTTTGGAGAGATCCAGGCCGGAAAAGCCCGAAATCGTGGTTCCCAGCTCTGGCTGGCGCCCCTGGGGCCCACGGCGGCCCCGAGGAGGGCGGGAACCACGATTTTGGAGAGATCCAGGCCGGAAAAGCTCGAAATCGTGGTTCCCAGCTCTGGCTGGCGCCCCTGGGACCCACGGCGGCCCCGAGGATGGCGGGAACCACGATTTTGGAGAGATCCAGGCCGGAAAAACCCGAAATCGTGGTTCCCAGCTCTGGCTGGCGCCTCTGGGAGCCACGGCGGCCCCGAGGATGGCGGGAACCACGATTTTGGAGAGATCCAGGCCGGAAAAGCCCGAAATCGTGGTTCCCAGCTCTGGCTGGCGCCCCTGGGGCCCACGGCGGCCCCGAGGATGGCGGGAAACACGATTTTGGAGAGATCCAGGCCGGAAAAGCCCGAAATCATGGTTCCCAGCTCTGGCTGGCGCCCCTGGGGCCCACGGCCGCCCCGAGGATGGCGGGAACCACGATTTTGGAGAGATCCAGGCCGGAAAAGCCCGAAATCGTGGTTCCCAGCTCTGGCTGGCGCCCCTGCGACCCACGGCGGCCCCGAGGATGGCGGAAACCACGATTTTGGAGAGATCCAGGCCGGAAAAGCCCGAAATCGTTGTTCCCAGCTCTGGCTGGCGCCCCTGGGACCCACGGCGGCCCCGAGGATGGCGGGAACCACGATTTTGGAGAGATCCAGGCCGGAAAAGCCCGAAATCGTGGTTCCCAGCTCTGGCTGGCGCCCACGGCGGCCCGGAGAATGGCGGGAACCACGGTTTTGGAGAGATCCAGGCCGGAAAAGCCCGAAATCGTGGTTCCCAGCTCTGGCTGGCGCCCCTGGGGCCCACGGCGGCCCCGAGGATGGCGGGAACCACGATTTAGGAGAGATCCAGGCCGGAAAAGCCCGAAATCGTGGTTCCCAGCTCTGGCTGGCGCCCCTGGGGCCCACGGCGGCCCCGAGGATGGCGGGAACCACGATTTTGGAGAGATCCAGGCCGGAAAAGCCCGAAATCGTGGTTCCAAGCTCTGGCTGGCGCCCCTGGGACCCACGGCGGCCCCGAGGATGGCGGGAACCATGATTTTGGAGAGATCCAGGCCGGAAAAGCCCGAAATCGTGCGTCCCATCTCTGGCTGGCGACCCTGGGGCCCACGCGGCCCCTGCGAGGATGGCGGGAACCAGATTTTGGAGAAGTCGCCCGAGCAGGACGGAAAAGCCCCGGACAGGCCGGTTCCAGCTCTGGCTGGAGCCCCTTGGGGCCCACGGCGCACCGAGCATGGCGGGAAACCACGATTTTGGAGAGATTTCAAGCGGAAAAACTGAAATCGTGGTCCAGCTCTGGGCTGGCGCCCCTGGGGCCCACGGCGGCCCCGAGGAAGGCGGGAACCATGATTTTGGAGAGATCCAAGCCGGAAAAGCCAGAAATCGTGGTTCCCAGCTCTGGCTGGCGCCCCTGGGACCCACGGCGGCCCCGAGGATGGCGGGAACCATGATTTTGGAGAGATCCAGGCCGGAAAACCGCGAAATCGTGGTTCCCAGCTCTGGCTGGCGCTCCTGGGGCCCACGGCGGCCCCGAGGATGGCGGGAACCATGATTTTGGAGAGATCCAGGCCGGACAAGCCCGAAATCGTGGTTCCCAGCTCTGGCTGGCGCCCCTGGGGCCCACGGCGGCCCCGAGGATGGCGGGAACCACGATTTTGGAGAGATCCAGGCCGGAAAAGCCCGAAATCGTGGTTCCCAGCTCTGGCTGGAAATCGTGGTTCCCAGCTCTGGCTGGCGCCCCTGGGAGCCGCGGCGGCCCCGAGGATGGCGGGAACCATGATTTTGGAGAGATCCAGGCCGGAAAAGCCCGAAATCGTGGTTCCCAGCTCTGGCTGGCGCCCCCGGCCCCGAGGATGGCGGGAACCATGATTTTGGAGAGATCCAGGCCGGAAAAGCCCGAAATCGTGGTTCCCAGCTCTGGCTGGCGCCCCTGGGACCCACGGCGGCCCGAGGATGGCGGGAACCATGATTTTGGAGTTCTCTGCTGTTCTGCTGCTGCTCTCTGCTGTTCTGCTGCTGCTCTCTGCTGTTCTGCTACTGCTGTTCTCTCTGCTGCTCTCTGCTGTCTCTGCTGTTCTGCTGCTGCTGTCTGCTGCTGCTCTGCTCTCTGCTGTTCTGCTGCTGCTCTCTGCTGTTCTGCTGCTGCTCTCTGCTGTTCTGCTGCTGTTCTGCTGCTGCTCTCTGCTGCTCTCTGCTGTTCTCTGCTGTTCTCTGCTGTTCTCTGCTGTTCTCTTGCTGTTCTCTGCTGCTCTCTGCTGTTCTCTGCTGTTCTCTGCTGCTCTCTGCTGTTCTCTGCTGTTCTCTGCTGTTCTCTGCTGTTCTCTGCTGTTCTCTCTCTCTGCTGTTCTCTGCTGTTCTCTGCTGTTCTCTGCTGTTCTCTGCTGTCTCTGCTGTTCTCTGCTGTTCTCTGCTGTTCTCTGCTGTTCTCTGCTGTTCTCTGCTGTTCTCTGCTGTTCTCTGCTGTTCTCTGCTGTTCTCTGCTTCTCTGCTGTTCTCTGCTGTTCTCTGCTGTTCTCTGCTGTTCTCTGCTGTTCTCTGCTGTTCTCTGCTGTTCTCTGCTGTTCTCTGCTGTTCTCTGCTGTTCTCTGCTGTTCTCTGCTGTTCTCTGCTGCTCTCTGCTGTTCTCTGCTGTTCTCTGCTGTTCTCTGCTGCTCTCTGCTGTTCTCTGCTGTTCTGCTCTCTGCTGTTCTCTGCTGTTCTCTGCTGTTCTCTGCTGTTCTCTGCTGTTCTCTGCTGTTCTCTGCTGTTCTCTGCTGCTCTCTGCTGCTCTCTGCTGCTCTCTGCTGCTCTGCTGCTCTGGATTGGTTTTCGCTCGGTTGGTTTTCGCTTGAACGGATTACCTTTTCGCTCGAACGAGCGTCTTTTCGCTTGAACGATCCACCCTCCTCCTCCTCCTCCTCCTCCTCCTCCTCCTCCTCCTCCTCCTCCTCCTCCTCCCCCCCCTGGAGACCGACCCCCTGGCTTGACGGCGCGCGTCCACTTCTGCTGGGCGCGATGGCTCTCCTAAGGCAGTCCCCCTCGCTCCGCCCCCCTCGGGCGCGCCGCCGGGCCTGAGCTCCACCGCCCGGTGAGGCCCGGGGCCCGCGAGTGCGAAGCCGTAGGTGAGCAGCAGCCGGGCGCCCGGCTCGTCGGCGTAGCAGATGGTGACCTCGTCGCCCGGCTCGAGGGCCCGCGCCGCCTCTGGACGAGCGCGCTCCACTGCTCGCAGAGCAACTGCTCGGGAATGGCCCGGACCCGCCGCTGGCGACCTGGGATCCAGGACATCGAGGCACACGTGTGTTTTTGTCTGGCGTTTGCGAGTAGGCACTCTGCGAGCAGAGGAGCGCGCTCGGTGAGCCTCCACCGAGACGGCGCCGTCCTCGCCCATGTCCCACCGCGCGCTGGGCGCCGCCGAGTGGTTCATGAAGGTGAACACTGGCACCAGGGCGCGCTTTCTCAACTTGGTGGCCAGCAGCGCGCGGGTGTCGACCACGTGGAGGGCTTGCGCCGCGCGCTCTGAGCCCCGCGAGGATCCCCGGCAGAGCTCTTGGACAATTCCTTGGCGGGACGCCGACCACTGGCGCGCCAAGCGTCCAGCGGCCCCTGGCAGTGCTGTCCAGGCCTCAAGCTCCGCTGAACCACTGGTGGGGGAGACGCAGGACTCGGGTTGGCCTGACAGGGCCGTCTGCCGTCAGGACAATGACGAGGCCCAACCTGAAATTTGGCGCGGGCTCTCGCTGCGAACATCCCACGAAACCTGGACCGTCAAAGTCCAGGACGGGCTCCCCACTCGGTGAACTCAAGTCTTACGCTTCCCCGAACTGGTCTCGAAGAGCATCTGCACGAAGGGCGCGAACGTGGACTCTGGACCAGAGGCGTCCTCCTCGCAGGAGGGCCCAGAATCGACTCGATAAGTCGGATCGGCGATCCGAATGAATCGACTCGGCGGAAGCCGGCAGCCAAGTCGTGAGAAGTCGAATCGGCGGAAATCGGCAAATTAATAGGCCTCCGTTGAGAAATCGGAATCCGGATCGGAACCCGTAGCCGAACCGAATCAGAATCGGAAGCCATCGAAATCGAATCGAATCGGAGGAATCGAAACGAGCCCTGTCCTCGAGTAGGCGGAACACCAGCGAGAGCATCCAGTGCGAGGCCGAGTGGTCGCCGCGCGGCCCCGCCGCCACGATCGCCGCGGCTGGCACCCGGAGCAGCACGTCCCCGGCCGCGCAGGCGGACCGCGCGAAGAGGCAGCGGCCACGCGCTGGGCGCGCCTCCACCCGCACGCCTCGGGCGGGCAGCAGTGGGGGGTGACCCAAATGGGGGGTGAAGAAAAAGGCCCGAAAATGGCCCTTTGGGGCCCCTTTCTGGGCATCGGCCGGCTCCACGAGGGGTCCTAAAGGGGCCCCTGTAGGGCCCCTTTCTTCACCCCCCATCTTGGTCACTCCCCATTGCCGCCCGCCCGAACGCCATCGTGCTCGACCCCGCGCTCCCGGCACCAGGAGAGGAAGGCTGCGAGGCTGGACTCCCCACCTGAGGCGTTCCAGAAAGGGCCTTGCCTTCGAGGATCGAAGGAATCGTCATCTCTTCCTCGGCGGAAGGCGGCGGAAGGGCGGCGGAAGGTCGACGGAAGTAAAACGAGGTCGCCTCCGCCGGCGCAAGCCGACGGAAGCTCGGCGGAAGGCGGCGGAAGTGAAAGATGCACCCCCAGAAGATGAAAACGTGTTTGGGCTCAGGGTTTTCGAACTCCTGCACCTAAAGGGGGGTCGGACGGAGGGGCTGGCCCAGGTCAGGAGGGAAGAAACCGACAGGCACAAGAGATCGTCGATCCCCCACTATTCGGCGGCGAGCGAGGGGGGAAATGAGAAGGAGAAGGCCTTCTCAGAAGGCGGCGGGGCTTCTCAGAAGCCTTCGCGCCTTCTGAGAAGTTTTCCGTGACTTCGGGAAGGTTCAGAAAACTTCTCAGAAGGCTGGGGGGTCCGAGCCTTCTGAGAGAGCCCACCCCTTCTCACTTCCCCCCTCGCTCGCCGCCGAACTGCACACCGCCGATGGATCGGCGATGAGTCCCAGATACTAAGTCCTCGATGGCCCCCACCCCTTTGGCGCCTCCGACCAGATTCTCCGGTGCAGTCGGGATGCGCCAAGGCCGACATCGGGGGCAGGGCCCTGCCCGGCGGCGGCACCGACCCTCGGGGTCACGCCATTAGAGGGCGCTGGTTCAGCCAAACGGCTGCGGCCTCCAACGCTGCGCAGCGCGGTGCCAAGGCGGAGCGAGCAGCGGACGGTCAGTCCCTCTGTCGCGAAGGATGACCCAGACCGACGCCCTCTGGTGAACGTCTTTTGATTCGGCGTTTCGACGTTGGGCGGAAGGGAGGGGGGGAGGGGGGGATCTGGCTCAGGACCTCTGCTTACTGCGACTGTTTGCAACAGCGAGTCCTATGGTGGAGACTCCATCTGCTCGAAACAGGCGCCAACAACAGCCGAGATCTACTCCATGGGGGGGAGAGGGGGGAGTGAGGGCCCGCACCGATCGGCAGAACAATGGATAAGAAAACGACGACCTGCAATCCCACCGCGCCCCAGGTCACCGAACTTATCGCCCGGCGCCGCGCAAAAAAAAGAGAGGCGCGTATATACAGCGGAGGCCAGTTCACAATACATCTTCCACAAGAAACCCAACCCTGAGACCCCAGGACGTCCATTTATTCTTGGGGTGGGAACGTCACGCTTTCCACAGCAAGCCATCGAAACCCAAGAAACCCAGGGCACCCTGGAGGCAACCAGGGTGCTTCTTGGCATGGGTCTTCACTGGACATGTGTTCGCGCTCTCGCGCGGTCCTCCTTGGAGAACCGTAGCTCTCTTCGGAGTAAGGATCGAGACGCGCAGCGCAGCTACCTTCTTCGAGCCCGCGCGGGTGATCTGGGAGACCCGTGCTGGCGAAACGCCCGTTTCCCTCCTCGTGTTCCCTCCCTCCTTCTCCCCCTTCAGGACCTCCTCCTCCTCCTCCTCCTCCTCCTCCTCCTCCTCCTCCTCCCCCTCCTCCTCCTCCTTCTCGTCTTCCCGCTCCTTCTCCTGATCTCGTCTTCATAAACCCGCCACCGTTCCGCTGGGCACGAAATGGAATGTACTCTCTTTCGAATGTTTTGTCAAGGGGGTGGAACCCCTAGTCCTGAGAATTCCTGGGGGTTCTGGGCGCCCTCGCGCACTCTTGGGAATCGGCGTGTGGTTTTTGTCACCGGCCTCTGGAGCGTGGCTTCCGACGCGGCCCAAAACGGCCCAGCGGCCTGTCCTGGAGCCTTCTTGAATGCCGTTGGGGCCGTTTTGGGGGCCATTGGAGCTATGCCGAGCGGTTCACTGAAAAACAATGCGAACGTTATCTTATTCGGCCTTTCGACATTAAGTGAGAAGGGGAGGGTGGCTCCAGGCCTCTGCTTACTGTGACTGTTTGCAGCGGTGCGTAACATGGGGGAGGCCCCACCTGCTAACGAACAAGAAAACGATGAGATACTGTATAGTTGTTTGATGTGCCACCTATCCTGTCTTGACAGCGTCCAACAAAAAACCGAGGAGTCCCCGAGGATCGCCCCAAAGCGGCCCCCGAGGCCCCCAAGAAGGCTTCAAAATCACTCCAAGAACGGCAGCCATAACGGACACTGGCCACCATTCGGAACTACATGTCCCGTGCACGTTTGGATTTCGTGAGTATTGTCCCCACGATCATCCAGGATGCTCCTCGATGGTCTTCGCCGAGGAAGAATGCACGCATCCGAGCGGCGCCAAGGACACGTCGAGCCCGCCCCCCGAAGATGGCGCCAAAGACCGCCAGTAGTCCCTGGAGGTCCCCCAAAGGCCCCCCCCCGCACCCCATAAGAGGGCAACACACCGTCATCTGGCACCTAACAAAGACCGCCAAGAGGATTCCAAGGGGCCGCCGAAAGGCCCCGAGGAGACCTCAGGGGAGGCCTGCGAGAGGCAATTCAGGGCACCGTTCTGGGAGATCCTGCCAATGTGTAGCTGCCGAATTTTGCGGAACAGTAGCAGAGAAAAGGTGCTGACGGGCTTGATTGTTGCTCCATGTTGTTTCGCCCATGTCTTCGTCGCGATCGAGGCCTTCGACACGCCTAGGGGAAGCACATTGTCGACATGACGACCGCGCGTTTCCAATGTTTCCGTTGGCACTGCGACTGCTAAGACACTGCCGACACACGCAACACACTGCAACTACACAAAGAAAATATGATGTAATACTACCAGGCGTTCGATACCCGGCCGTAGAGCACCCGCGCTTCCGCAGCCGTCGGCGCACAGCCCAGCGCCAGGAGGTCGATTTCCGCGGCGCCAAAGTTGACTGCTGCTGCCTGGTGCCTGGTGCTGGCAACTCCTGGAGAACCGATATGGCTGCCCGAACATTGAGTTGGCTGGGCATTTGCATTTGCTGGAGCTCGAGTCTCTGCTGGGAGATCTGCTCCTGCAAACAAGACGCAGCCGTTTGCAGCTCGTTCTTCGGAATGTCGTCGATGATCGTGGCCTGGTCGTCCAGCGCGCGCTGGAGCTGCTCCGTCATGCCCGCCACAGCCATGTCTCCCATGGTTTCGCTGAGCACCGAGGCACGAGAAAGAGAAGTGGATGCTTCGCCGTGCACCACCGTGCACACGAACCCCACCCCAGTCGTCTCGAGAGACTCACCGGAAGATTGAATGGGAGAACGCGCCTACGGGAGGGAAGGACTACTGGAGAACTCCTAGATGGGGTCCGAGTAGATGGGGTCGGAGGATCGCGCCGCATCGCCGATGTATCGCCGATGCATCGGCGACGTCAGGGCGGAGAAACTGTGGCTCCTCATCGAGCCGCACCGGCGATGCATCGGCGATGCGGCGCGATCCTCCGACCACATCTACTCGGACCCCATAGTACGGACGAGGAGGATGGAGTGGGCATCGGTCGGGGGGACATAAAGGTGGGGTGGGGGTAGAGGTGGGGTTGGGACGAAAATCGCTCTGATCGGCTCCTGGAACAAGGAAGTGTGAGCATCCAGCTGGGTTCTTTCCCTAACCCCACCTTGGGATAAACCCCCCTCTACGAACCCCCGAATCGGCCACGGCGCCAGCCTCCCGAGCAGCTCTGAAACCACGGGCGGAGACCGCGCGGCGGGGGGGGAGGGAGGCTGGAGCAGGGGGGCAGAAGAGGGAGGAGGAAGACTGGGAGAACAAAAAGGAAGGGAGAAGCTCAGAAACAGGATCCTCTCCCTCCTCCTCCTCCTCCTCCTCTCTCCTCCTCCCCCTCCTGCCCATCCTCCGCTTCCTCCTCCTCCTTCCTCCTCCTCCTCCTCTTCCTCGTCATCCTCCACCTCCCTCGTCCTCCTCGTCCCCCTCCTGCCCTCCTCCCCTTCCTCCAATTCTCCCTCCTTGCCCTCCTCCTCCTCCTCCTCCTGCCCCTCCTCCTCCTCCTCCTCCTCCTC